AGGTATAATTCCTCTTTGAGCCACCTGCTGTTCCATCACTAATGGACTCAACCTGAATTGAGACATCTGACTCAGGAGGCCAGGATCCCTGGAAGAGAAAAAACAGGAGGGTATTCCCATCTGAATACTCCAGGATTCCAAGGTTGTCTGAGTCCATTTGGCTGCTATGACAAAATGCCTTAGACTGGGCAATTTATTTATATTAGAAGTCTATTTCTCACAATACTGGAAGCTGAGAAGTCTAATGTCAAGGCGCCAGCAGATTCAGTGTCTGGTAAGGGCTTGCTTTCTGCTCCATAGATGTCATCTTCTTGCAGCACCCTCACATGGCAAAATGGCTAAAGGGACTCCACTACGTCCTCAAGCTATTTTGTAAGGGCACTAATCCCATTTGAGGGACCTAATCACCTCGTAAGGTCACACCTATTAATGCTGTTGCAGTGGGGATTAAGATCTAACATGCATTGTGGAGGAACACAAACACTCAAACCATAGCAAAGGTCTTCAGTGACTACGTGGTGGAGGGAAAAGGCAGGAATTTTGGAATTATCCAGTGTTGGATTTAAGGCTTTGCTCTGCCACCAACTAGTTTGGGATGCCAGTTACCAACCACCCCTAAAGTAAGAACTAGAAGAAATAATATTTGCAAAGTGTCTCAGGCAAAACCTGGTTCCCTATAGGCTGAAAAGCCCAGGTTTTTTTTCCTTGTTTTTCCTGCCTTAGGTGGAGTGGGAAGGTCAGCTGGGTGCTCACCTCTTACCCTGCCTGCAGGGAGTGGGCTCTGTGCCCAGCAAGTGCACCAGAGCAGGCTTCTGGGAGTTGAAAGAAGAGACAGGTGGCAGCGGGCAGGTGAGACATGGTCTTTATTGTCCAAGGGATGCAGCAGCGGCAAAAGCATGGCCAAGAACAAGGCGAGCACTTTTGTATGCCTTAGAACAATAGTGACAATGTGCCATGGGAAAGCGTGATCACAGGGGTTCACGTAGGAGATATCACTTGGTTACAGAAGTGTGTTGACTCATGCCTTACCAGAAGGCCAGCTGAAGACACGCCGGCAATCATTTTAGTTTGGCCTAAGAAACCTATTGCCTATACAACTGGATTTCCCATACGCTGTCCCAGGACCGAAGGGCACTGATGCCCAACCGTGACCAGGCTTGTGGAAAGCCAGTACAGAGACTGGCACACTGACAGCTTCTGCTCAGGCTGAAAGAGAAGAAGGTCCTCCCCTCCTCCCTCACCCATCAGCAGGCTCCTAGCATTGGTTCACAGTGAGCAAGCACTTAGCAGAGACCCAATTCAGACCTGAGCTTTCTGACTTCAGCAATGAGGCAGCTGAGCTCTTCTAAGCTGCAAGGGGAACCAAGAGACCCAGGAATGCAGGCCACCAGACAAGCCACAGCAGCTCATGGAACAAGAGTTAGCCCACTCCTGTGTAAGAGCTGGGACCCAAACAGGATTCGGCAAGGTGAGGACCCCAACGGAGGAAAGAAACACCCACACACTGCGGTGGAAGCTGCACCAGGGCCTCAGGCAACCAGAGGCTAATGGTGGGGTAAGGAGGTCCCCAACTAGGACCTTGGGCAGATATAATCGAGGGAGGGCAGCATGTCCACCCCTGCCTCCAAGGGGAGCCACACCAGAGAGACTGTCATCAGCTTCTGTGTGGTGTCCCCTTCTGCTGAGCCTGCATGGAATGGGAGGAGGGCAGCCCAGACCCCCCACACACATATAGGGTGCTTGTCTCTTTGGCTCTGTTCTCCCATGGCCCCACCACCCTCCTGAGGGAGCCCTGCAGGAAGATTCCTGGCTCCAATCCAGGGTAGATGGTGTCACTTGCCTTACATAATATTCAAGGTGTTCAGAAAGATCAGATGTGGGACAGACCATTTAACAAACCTTCAGGATTCAGACAGCCTCCATGAACAATATCTTGGGAGGAGGCTTTGGGCAGGATGGCTGATTCAACAGGCAGAGGTGAGGGTGAGAAACAGGGAGAGTAAACCATCATTTCAGGCAGAGGGATGCAGGTGAGAGAGGAAGAGGCTGATGTAGGGTATGGAGCCAGAGTGACTACAGGGGCCTGATGGTCGGTATAAGAAGAGCCTGGAGATGCCAGGTCAGACCTTCCCAGTAGCTTCACGGTCAGAGCCTCCCTGCAGCTCTCACCATGGGGGTGGAGGAACTGTTCTTGCTACCAACTGCCCCTATGCCAGGCCAGGGGAAGACCTGAGGCTGTTTTCCTAAAACAATCCCCAACTTTTGCCCCTAAGGGTCATTCTCTGAGAAACAGAAGGCTGGGAAGGGCTTGAGATAATAGGAATTTATCTTTCCACTCCACAGGAAGATAAGTTTGGGTCCACGGGCGAAGGCTGAGGTTCAGGTCCAGCTTAGCAAAGGAGAAAAGGAAGGCGTCCTTGGTGGACTTGCATAATGTGCCCTGCACACTCCCCACAACGTGCACATGCACACCAACACACACCAACACCCCGCTCAACACACCCAAAGGAGGTCCACGTGAGATCCTCAAAGGAAGCCTTAGGCCAATCCCTTTGCAGGCTTCCACCCACTCATTCTGCCTCCTTTGACCCCAACTCAGCTGGTAAAACCCGGGTCCTGACTCCTCCTCTGCAGCATAGTCAACACGTCGGCACAGATCCCTCACCTGAACTTGTGTTCTCAGAATTACACACAGGAGTGACACAGCAGAAGTGATAGGGATTTGCTACCTACACAGTCAGACAGGGTCCCCTTGGGAAGGGTTTGGAGAAGAGTCAGAATCCCTCTGAATGACAGACCAAGAGCCCTCACCTGGCAGGGTGAGAATCGTGATTATGAGGACAGTTTTGGGAGGTCACAGAACGTAACCAGGCCATGAATACCCATAGAGCTTATGGCCACAAAGTCAGGCTAAGATAGACCAGAGGCAGCTGGAGCTGAGCTGCAGCTGGCAGAGGCAGGTGTCTGCAGGCTTCAGGCTCAGAGCACACGTGTCCCGGTGGTGCCGATCCTCCTGCTTCCTCCCATTAAATGACATTCATGGCCCGGCCTGAGTTACAGACCTCACTGTAGACAGTAGTCATAGGCCCCTTTTCTTCCACATGTAGTTCACCAAGGCCCTGGAATGCAAGACAGAGGGTTCCTGGAGCAGCTAAAGGATAAAGTGGCCCAAGAGGGACCTGCAGAGCCAGTGCCCACTGACATGCTGACATGCTCTGCTTATGAAATTTCCAAAGTGCAAAGCATTGCATTGACACCAATTACAAATCTTTGTTATTAAATGGTGTTGATTGTTGAGAAACACATGAACAGGCAGCTGGGTCAGAGTAGCAGATGCCTGGATTTGGAAGCCCAGGGCTGGGCAGTGAGGGACCTGGGAGTAGCCTGGATGGCCAGTGGCTCCAGCCTTATTCTTACCCAGCTGAGACTCCTGTTGTATCAGCTCTTCATAGTGGATGCCACCATCCTCAACTCTCTGCTCCTCCTGCAACTGGACACCTGAGCCACACACAGACAATCTTTAAATCTGTACCTTGGAGACCTGTAACCCTCCCACTGCCATGAGCACCAAAGCCATAGCCACACCCATCATCCCATCTGCAGGAGACTCCCTGGCAGCCACAGTCAGGAGAAAGGGGACCAAGTTCTAGTAGAGGAGGGGAGGCATGGGGGCCTGGAAGGAGAACTGCAACTTGCCTCGTTCTGTTTCTGTCTTCTTCTTCTTTTTGCCACATGTCTTCCAAAGGTATGATATAACTCCCAGGGTCAACATCAAAACCACAGTAGCCCTTAGCATGTCTGGCAGTAGACTAGCCATGTCCCATCCATGTGAATCTGTTTCCGTCATACAAAGAATGAACAAGAGTAAGTTAGGAGAGAACTTGAGATGCCCATTTCCAAGGGGGAGCACAGGTAGGAAGGGAGTGGAGGGGCACGAAGAGGTCTGGTGCAGAGGCTGAAGAGGGAGAACCATGGCAGGTCCACTCATTCACCAGACACTGAGCTGCTCCTTGTGCCACGGATACTGAGATCAACAAAATGATGTCCATGCCCTAAAGTAGCTCATCACCCAGGAGGGAAGACTGAGAAAATACAAGGGCCACACAAAGGAACCCTACTACAACAGAAGTTTACACCAGTGCTAGGGGTTCGAGAGGGCCTCCAAGAGGAGGTGTGGGTAGACTGAGTCTTGAGAGGGGATTAGGACTTTCCAGATATTCAGAGGAGGTCACTGCAGGAATGAGGAGCACCATGTTCAGGGAATGGCTGTGTCAAACGCCAGTCCTGGGAGTCGCCAGCACCCCCACTGTGGCGGGGCAGAAGGGGCAGGGAGGAGAGTCAGAAGGAGGTAGGAATCTGTCCCCAGAGGGCCTTGTGGCCATGCTAAGTGTTAGCTGAGACTCAGGATGCGTTCAACGGAGAAGGTCACAGGCAGTTTAAGTGACACTGATACATCAGACCCTCCAGCAGCTCCTGGAGAAAGGGAAGACAGGGCTGCACACAGGGTCCTGGTCATTCATTCATTCCAGGAACACTGGCTGTGAGCAAACTTTGCCAGAAGCTGGCTTGGCACAGGGAGTCAAAGGAAAACAAGACATGGCCTTGACCTCAAGGTTGTCCAATCTACAGAGGAGACAAAGACACAAATCCATCATCACTGCTCAGTGTGGGGAGGCCACGGACAGCTCTCTAAGGAGGTGGTACCTGAGGGCAGGACAGGCTACATCACTTGCAGGGCCTGCGCAACAGGAAAAAGGGGAGCCTTTGCTCAAACTGGTTAACAGCAGAATTTTAAACCAAGACCTTAAGTGTCGGGTCCTGTGCCACTACCCAGTCTTCACCCCACGAAGCCTGCCCGCCTCAGGGGAATCCTTCAGCAGCAGTAACACAGGAAGGGAAGCACATGGGACTCGGGTCAGCTCATGGGAGAGGATACAGCATGTCCAGAAGCTCATAATCTTGCAATGGCAGGACACGTTCAGGGAACTACAGGCAGCGCCTTGGTGTGAAGCGAGTGGGTGAGACCAGCAATGTGGGTAGAGGAATATCTAAGATACAAATCCTACAGCGGGGGCTGGAATCAGGTTCCCACAGATGACACAGACAATGACACAATCCCATCTGCTTTCCCCATAGCCCACTCTGGACGAGTGTTTGAGGACAAATGGGGTGGGAGAGTCATAGGAAGGCTGCAGCCTGGACCAGCAGGGACATGGTGGGTGGTTGGCAGAGGAGGGCATGGATGGGAGAGATGCTCAAAGGCTGAAGTGAGGTCACTGGGACTCTCAGGCGTCTGAGTAGGTGACCAGGTGGACATTGTCGCTAATACACATGACAGGGAGAAAAGCCCAGACCCGCAGGCCCCCATGCTGCCTGAACTCCAGGTCCCCCTTCCCACTCACCTTGGGCACAGATGTCCCCAACATCTCTGGTGACAGTTTTCTGGTCCATGAGATTGCTGATCACACAGGTGAAGCTGACGTTGGGCTGACTCAGGGGAAGGCTTGCAGCCAGGGTCCAGGAGTCAAGGGCTGGTCCTGGTGTCCCTCTCTGCCCCAGCTCCAGGGGGAGGCCCCTGCTCTCCCAGGTCACGTTCAGGTCCCTTGTGGCCCCTGGGGCCCTGCACTCCAGGGTGACGTTGCACCAGCCTGCTGCGATGGATGGTGACTGAGCCAGGATGTGGGGATGGGGCACGGGATCTGGGGCAGGAGGGGACAAAAGAAAGGAGCCTTGTTTGTAGAGAACATTACACACCGTACATTGTAATCATTTTCTCACAGATGCCATGGCATGCACCCTGTAGGGAAAGGGGGTGTGTTTTACAGATAACACACAGTTTGTCTTCAGCTAAACACTGAGCAGATGACAATAAGAAGGGGAGCCCCTGAGTCAGCCCAGGGAAGTGTCACTAGATTAAACAAGTCAGAAAAATTTCCCAAAGGAAACAAAGGCTGGACTCCACCAACTCAAGGCCCATAGTTTCTATGAAATTAGTGTCTTTCTTGGAAGAGGAAGAAGTCTGGGGCAGAAGGGCTTGTCTTGGCCCAGGGTCCTTCCCCAGCATCTCCAGCTGAGATGATGGGACTGCAGCCTGGGACTGCACGGCCCTCTGGGGAAGGACTCCAGGCCAGCCCTGGGAGGCCAGACACAGCCCATGCTCCCAAGAGTACACACATTGGTGGGAGATGCAGTGGCAGCAACAGGAAACATCTCCGAGTGTGTTTAGAACACGCCACTGGACTTGAGGTACAGACAGGAAGAGAAGAGTCAGATGTGTAAGCCTGTCTTAGAAAGCATATGGGACCTAATGCTGCAAACAAGCTCTCTCCATAGCAGGTTATTTCCCTATGCAGAGAGGAACTCTAGGAAAAGAAAGTCTTCAATAAACATCTGTCCTAAGCAGTGTAAACGGTCCACAACTAGAAGCCTTTGAGAGATGGGTTAGCTGATTCCTGAGTTAGTCTCAGGCTGGGGTGAGAGGGGAGGGGCCTGGGAGGACTCGATATGTGTGGACTTCCAATTGTGAGAGACAGAATAGTGGCCCCAGATATTTCCACATTGTAGTCCTGGCAACCTGGACTACATGGAAAGGGCAAGTAAAGTAGCAGATACAATTAAGATTGCTAGTCAGCTAACATTGAAATGGGGAGATTATTCTGGACTAGCCTGATATGTCCAGTGGAATCACAAAGACCCTTAGAAATGAAAGAAGGAGGGAGACAAGGTGCGAGGGGTCTAAAAGGACTCACCCCACCATTGCTGGCTTTGAACATGGAGGAAGGTGGCCACAGCCAGGGAGGCAGATAGCACCCAGCAGGTGAGAAAGACAAGAACATGGATTCTCCCCTGGAGTCTCCAGAAAGGACACAGCCTGCCAACACCTTGATTTTAGCCCAGTGCAAGCTCTGTCAGACTTCAGACCTACAGCATGCTGACATAATACATTCCTGCAAATTAAAGCTACTAATTCACCATAATTTGTTCTAAAAACAATAGTAAACTATTACACAAATTAAGTAACATTAATCCTGGAAAGGATGATTAATGTTATTGGAACGATTTCTATTTAACCAATTTCCATTGTCTTTCGCAGAACACCAAAGTGATTTTCTCCCTGGTATCAATCTCAGCTCTGGACTCCATCTCTGGCGACTGCACTTTCCCTATTTCAGAGGAGGCGGTAGAGTGTGAAGGCTGTGTCTGAATGGAATCCTGCAACATGGGGCCAATGTGACAAAGGAGGAGGTAAGCTATGGGCTGGAGGGAGGGGTGTCACTCACCATAGACAGTAAGGTGGAAAAACTGCAAAACTTCTCTTCCTTCCGTTAACCTGGTTTGAGCTCGGTAATGCCCACTGTCCTCAAGGCTCAGGTTGGAAATCCTCAGGGAGGCCAAGTTGGGCACCTGGACCCTCTCCTTGAATTTGTCCTGGAGGCTGAACCAGGTTGGAGAATGGACGCCTCTCTGGATTCGAAACATGACTCTGTAGTCTGACTCCGGGGTAAAGCTCCATAAGAGCTCCTCCACCTCAGTTTCCAGAACTGCTCCTGCCTTCTGGGTCACATCAAACAAGACAGAACCTCCTTGGATCCCCTTCAGAGGAACGTGGGCTCCAGAGTCCTTAACCGCAGAGCCGTGTGCCCCTGAACTCTCAGCCACAGCACGGCAGACACCTGGGCATCGGAAACGGAAACGGGAGTGTTTCCTCATCAAGAACAAATAAGAGAGCCACGGAACTTTTCTTCCTAATCAAATCCATCCAAAATTCTTCCTTCTTGGAAGGTAGGCTAGTATAATGAATTGGAAGTAATTCTGGGATCAAGTCTGGTTCTCGTGGAGTATAAACTTAAACAGGCTTAACTGCCTATTTGTCAGTTTCCTTACCATCCAAAAATGATAACACGAATTAAGTGAAATCACAGATCAGAAGAACCGAGTACATTTTCCAGCACATGCTAACTGCATAAATGTAGAAGGCAGCTCTAACATGTCACCCAAAGGTCTCTCCGTCCTGTGCACGTCAATGTGTAATCCCTCCCCTGGAGTGTGGCTGCACCTAGTGACCTGCTCTAAGGAACAGAATAGAGCTGTTGGGGCACTTTTCAGACTCTAAACACCCTACAGGTCTAGTTTCTCCTTCCTCCCCAATGTGACCCAATCACACTATTATTTTCATAACTACTTGCAGAAATTTTTTGATGACTTTTTTCCAGTATGGTTATTTTTGTTTATTGAAAGATTCATGTGACAATATATATTATAAAGAAGCAAAAACACACCATCACGGATTTAGTTGCCTGTGAGATCAGGTCACAGGCATATTTACCAAACTCTAGGGTTCCCCATTGAGGGGTCATGTTTAACAGGAAGGGGGGCTGTTATGGATTGAATTGTGTTCCTCAGAAAAGATACATTGAAGTCGTAAACCCAGAACCTCAGAAGGTGACATTCTTTGGAAATAGAGTCTTTGCAGATAGAGTCAAGTTAACACGAGGTCATCAGGCTACAGCCTCCTCCAATATGATGGGCGTCTTTATGAAAGGGAGAAATTTACACACAGAAGCCGACATGCATGGAGAGAACTAATAGGAAGAGACACAGGGAGGAGGCACGGGAAGGTAAGGATGGACCGACGCAGCTGCAAGACAGGGAACGGCACAGACTGCCAGCAAACACCAGAAGCTGGGAAGGGGGAGGAAGGATTCCCCTTGTTATGGACTGAATATCTGTGTTGCCCCCGAATTCACATGTTGCAGTTTTAACACCCAGCGTGGCTTTACTTGGAGATGCGGCCTCTAATGAAGGGAGGGTACCTGAGGTCACAAGGGTGGGGCCCAATCCAATAGCATTAGTGTCCTTATAAGAAGAGTCAACAAAGAGCAACCGAGCCATGAGCACGAACTGAGGAAAGGTCTTGTGAGGACACGGATAGGAGGCAGGCTTCTGCTAACCAGGCACAGAGCCCCCACCTGCAATTGAATTGGCTGGAACCTTGATCAAATAGCTCCCAGAACTGTGTGAAAACAAATTTCTGTTTGTTAGGGTAGACTGAGCTGACTGCTACAGCCATGTAGGTTTCAAGGTTGACTAACAAACCCCTATAGGTTTCAAGAAGTGTGTGACAGTCAATTTCCACTCTTCTAGCCACTGTGATTGATGTCTGTTAGGACAGTCCTGGGAGAGGAATACAAAAGCTCAGGAAGGGTGGCAGCCAGGGACTACACCTTGACACTATGAATGATTCCTGAGGAACCAGGGCAGAGCCCTTGGCAAGCACATCACATGAGGTGTCAGCTCGGGACTGAGACAGGCCTGGGATCAAGTTCCACATCCACCCTTTACTGGCTGAGTGATCTCTACCAGGTTCCTAAAATGTCTAGCCCTTGAGTTCCCACATATGGACACTGGGGATAATAACCGCCAGTGCTGTTAGGGCTCCTACAAGATATATATGTGTGTGTGTGTGTGTGTGTGTGTGTGTGTGTGTGTGTGTGTATTTTATATATTTTTAAAAGCCCTCAACAGGATGCCTTTAGGAGTTCTGATCATTACTATTAATAGGGCCCACCTGCTATGGAATTGCCACACTTACTGTACCTAGATTTCTCCTGCTGTTTCCCTGCCTGGAAAAGAGGTCGCCCATGCCCCATGACCATAGTTCCCAGTCCCTACATTTCAGCAGCCGCTTCAGTTACCACATGTCTAATGGTCCTTAGGACAGGAGATTGCATTTCAGCAACACCAAGTGGCATTTAATTTTTTAATTTTAATCAGATGATACATTCACACGGTTTATGAAAGGAGGAGACAAGAAAGGAGATTGAAAATGAAGTCTCTCCTATCTCTGGCTCCCACTGTCCGGTTCCCTCTCCTAAGGCAGCACCATCATCCGCGTCCTGGCAGCCACCCGGAGACGGTCCACACACTCACAGGCACAGTGTGCGTCTCCACAGACACAGCACGCTCTGTGCACCCACCTCTCCTTGCCTTTCTCGTAGCAGGGCTGACTGGGGCTCACGCCGGGTGTGTGCACACTGTGTAGCATTGACTGTCTGCACCCCGTGCCTCCTGGGGCTCTGGTCCCCACTGCTTCTGATGTCCCAGTGCCTGCTCGCCACCACCCACAATGTGGCACTGCACATCCCAGTGTCTCAGCCTCTCACACACGATGTGTATGAATTAGGAAAATCATCAGGGTGACTCTCGTGGGTCATAGGCGCATACATCTGAACTTTTGGCCAATATTGTTAAGTATCTCCGAAGGGTGGTTCTATCTATATTCCTACCAATAATGCTTAGGTTTCTTACCAATACATAATTGTCAAACGTCCCTTGTCAAACTGAAAAAGAGAATATTATATCTCAGTGTCATATCAATGGACATTTTCTCTATACATGAAGATTATCATCATCATCATTTCATATTAAGTCACTTTGTTTGCCTTTTCTGTGAACTATGAATTGTCTGCTAATGTCCTTTCTCATCTCTTCCCATTAGTTTCTATGACTTAGATATATGTTGTGAAAATTAGCTATTTCTCTAACATACATGATATAATTATTTATAGTTTTCTGTTTGACCTTCAGCTAGGGACTATTTACCTTGCCAAAATGGTATTTTCATGATGTCTAACATATGAAATGTTTAATAGCTTCTTCATTTTAAATCTTGCTTTAAAAAACACTCCCATTTCAAAGGTGGTTTTCAATTCTCTCTTGTTTCCAAGTACGTTTGTGATTTTAATTTTCATATTTACTCGTAGATCCACCTCAAATTTACTTTGCAGCCAGCGACTCGACATAATTGGATAGTATGACAGAGTGGTCAAAAGATTGAATTTTACAGCCAGTGACATTTAAATCCAGGGGCTTCACTTTCTGGCCATGTGAACTTGAGCAGTTATCTAACCTCTCTGGCTTTGACTTTCTCTTCTGGGAAATGGAAATAACATAGTGCATACCTCATTGGACTATTCTTTAGACCTGAATAGAGAAAAGTTTTCAGCACGGGATTCAATAACTGTTCTGTTTATACTAGCTGCTCTCATTATCATGATGAGCGTCAGGTGCCCAAGCACACCTGCGGCAAAACCAGATGTTCCCAGTTCCCAGGCCGGTGTCCTTTCCTTCCCCGCAGCTGTCCCTCTCAGGGGTCCCCTCCTGCGTGTGAAATATCTGTAGGTTCATTTCCATAGCTGGCTGCAGAGTGTCACGGTCCAGTTCCTGTTTACCAAAGCCCTGAGTTTTAAAAGAAATCCATTTGTCTGTGTCCGCACACAGCTGTCATCAACCCCAAGCAGCCAAGGACATCTGTGTAGCCAGGACACTGGTAAAGATGAAGGCAGCAAGGCAATGGCAGAGCACCTGTTTGCCCAAGCTTGGCCTCGATAAATTTTGTATTATTAACTCTATTTGGTTTACTCATTTTCCCCTTTCCTTAGTAGGTTCTGTTGTAATATATTGATAAAAATAGTATATGTTCTATCGAAAACTATTCTACAGGATATGGAACTGCTTCAGGGGAAAGGTCAAAGTGTGCCTCATCCCAAAGGAAAGCATGTAAATGCCGTGTTCCCTCCAGACAGTCATCTCTGTACCCACAGATACCACACACCCGCGTGAACGCAGGGCATCTATTGGTAAACATATTGCATTGCTGCTGGCCTTCTTCCACTCCCATTTGAGCCACTTGTGACATCCTACTGGTTCCTTAATTAATTCATGAGCGAAATACAAGTGTCCTTTAATGTCTCCATCAGCAATATTTTTCATAGCTAATAACACGTTTAAATATATAATTCTTGATACAACAATGGATACCAAACATAGGTGCTCCATATAATGTAGAGCCCAAAATAACAACCGTCCTTTCCAGGGGGAAAGACAGGACAACTGGACTTGCTGGGACAGGATTTCATTTTCCAAAGGGGAAACCTTCCGAAGGCATTTTGACACACAATTCTGGTGAAAACAGTGTTTGTATTTCCCCCTGCCAGCATTGCAAGAAGGGTGATCGAGAAATAAACTAGTATTTTCTGCTAAACAGACAGGAACTGAAAAGGTCTGGCTGAGGCTTTTACTAGCTGCCTCTAAAAGCCCAGCAGCAGCTGCCTTCCTGAGTGTGGTCTGCACCCCACTTTGTCACATACTGCAGGAGGGTGACGTGTCCTCGGCAGGTGGTCTGAGGCCACGTCCCTGTAGCCACATTCGGACCCTTTCTTCTCCAGCTCCCCGCCAGCAGCCACCAGGTGGTAACTCAGCAAATGCCCTCAGGGTCAGGCTGAGGGAGTCCCCACAGTGGAGGCCACCCTCACTGGCGCTGCCTGCTTTTCTGGAAAAGTGCAGTGTGTGCAGAGCCACCCTCAGTCTCCCATCTACCCTTCCCATGTGGCCTTCCAAACACACATCCAGGAAGGGTTCAGGGGTCTCAGAATGGTAAGGACAAATTCTTTAATACCTCCCTCACCATCACTCCTTCTCCACCCATCCCTCTCCAAGTCAAGGCTGAACTTGAGCAAGGGACAACACAAAACCAAAGAAGAAATGCATCCAACTGTGGAGCTCCATGAATTGCTATAGAGCAGTTTCTGGGAGATGTTCCTTCTGAGGACGGGCTCTGTCCAAACTCCACTGCTAGGGTCTGTCCCATTGACTACCACGGAGGGCAGGCCGGACAGGAAAACCAAATTCACTCCTCCCCACTTCGTGTGTGACCTCCAGAGAATTACTTTCGTTATCTGGACACAGACAGCCTGTCCCTAAACTAAAAAATTCTAAGTCCTTTCTTTTTTTTTTGTCCCCTCCTTATTTCTTTCTTCCCTCCCTTTCTTCTTTCCTTCCATTTTTTTCTTTCTTTTTCTTTGTTTCTCTAGTATTCCTCCAGCCCAGTGCCTACAGAGAAAACGTTATACAATCAAACATATTTCTCCAAGTTAACAATATTGTGGAAGTGAAGAAAGCCTACGTTTTGCTGTCGACAGAAAGTTACCGATTTAAACAGGATCTAACCCAGTGCTATGGCAAAGCTCATCTTTGCTTCCAGAAGTCCTGTTTTACAAGTGCTTTCTAATCCATTAGATTTCACATACTTCCCTGCAAGTTAAATCAGTGCTGAAATATTAAAACAAAAATATTAACAATAAAAGCTTTCACAAAAATTCATATTTACTAGAACTTATTTTTTCATTAGCTTTTATTTAATATTATTATTTGTATAATCATATGATATTTCATAAAGCAATGAGTATGATAGACAGCCTAGATCAGGTCATTCTACTTTCTTCCTCTCCATTTTCCCTCCCCGATTTCATGGCCTCCTCTAGCCCAGGATGGCAATCCACTGGTTCTTCCACATCTTTAGCATATTCTTAGAAACATGTGGGTGCATAGACACCCTTAAATTTTGGAGGCTGATTTCCTTGTATAAAACAAAGATTTCATTGCATTTAGTTTCCTGAATCTTCCTGATGGAGATTCATGCATTGTACTTCATAAAAACTGAAAATTCCTACCAGAAGGGTGTACATTTGCATTTTTAGGCCTGCATAATACTCCATGGTACACATACTCTCAAAGTCTTCAACCACTCCCAATTGTTGGGCACCTCCTCTTTTTTCCCAGGGTTTTTCCCCAGAACAGTGCTGTGATGGACATGGTTTCATCTGAGGTCTCCAGAGTGTAAGCAGCATTTCAGGGTGGAGGAGAGGCCACCCACAGGGGTGAGAAAGGGCATAGTCTGTAGGACTCATTGTACCTGAGATGGCAAATCTTTTTAACATTTTCAGATGGAAACTAATGCCAATTACACAAGCACTTTTAAGGTAAACCTGAGACTTCCAAGGGCCTCTCCTCTGAGATGATCTGCCTGGAGCTGAGCCCCAAGCAGAGGGGTGCCCCTCCACTCTCCTTTCCAGTGGAGCTCAGGCAGCCCAGACCAGAGGAGCTTCTTGCAGCTCAGACCTGGGTTCCAGTTCTGCCCCTCCTCCACAGGACAGTGCAGAGACTGTCAGGACACCGCTGAGTTCCAGGCCAGCAGTACACTCTTTCAACCCTTCATCCCCAGGAGGCAGCTATTTTATACCTCTGTGTCCCTCTTTCCAGGCAGTTCCAAGTTCCTTCGGATTTCTGGCTAATGTAGCAGAAGTGGTCTGCGCTCCCAGGCTATAGTCCCCTTAATGCAGCCAAGGCAGCCCAAGCTCAGGCATCCCAGCCTGCTCACCACCAAAATGCCATTTCACTTTTTCTGTTTACCATGAGCTCTAACCTAATATGCTGCATTTGCAAATTTTAACACAGCATTTTCCTCTTTTTTGTTCCTCAGAAACAACAGAACCAAAATAGCCCTCCCATGGGTCATGGCCCAGCTATCCCAGCTCCACACAGTTGTTTCTCCTTCCCAGGGACCCCGGGCTACTCACTGAGGAGGAGGCTGATGAACCCCAGGTGACTGGAGGCCCAGCATGGCTGGTTGTGCTCTGAGCAGGGCCCCATGGTGGCTGCCTTCAAACCTGGTCAGCTGCAGTGGAAACATTGAAGGGGGAAGAAACCAGCTTACACAACTTTCCCACTCCAAGGGCAGGACTAGCAAGTGACTACTGGGGAGACAGCCCATCAATCTAGAGAAAGAGCCATTCAGCTCTTTTGTAGATGCTCTGCACACTCATTAAGTAATTGCAGAGAAATGTACAACTTCACACTGTGACCTGCCTGACATCACGTTGACAGGCCCCCGTTCCTGTGGTCACAGCAAGCCCGGTGCTCTCACACATGCCCTCCCCTGATGCTTATCTGCTTACCTGGGTTCACACCTTTGCCTCAGGCTACCCTGATCACCAAAAAGCCACTCTCTTACAGCAAACCAGAGTGGGCCCCTCCTGAGTTTGGTGTCTTTCCTCTGTCCATATCCCATTAGTTCTGTTCTTATTTTGGTTATTGCTTTTCTTCTACTGGGTTTAGGATTGGTTAGCTCATCCTTTTCCCATTCCTTGAGATGATTCTTAAGATTGTCGATTTGTGATCATTCTGTCTTTTCAATGTGGGCATTTAAGGGTATGAGTTTTCCTCTCAGGAATCCTTTTGCTGTATCCCACAGAGTTTGATAACTTGTGCCCTCATTACCATTCAGCTTGAAGATGTCATGATTTCCATCTTTTTCTCCTCCCTGACCCCATTCTCATTCAGGAATGGGTTGTTTCATTTCCATGATTTTGTGTAGAGATGAGCGTTTCTGTTGGAATAAAAATTCTGATTTTATTCTACTGAAATCTGAGAAGATATATGGTTTAATTTTTGTTTTGTTTAATTTCTTGAGACCTGTTTTGTGGCCTAGGATGTGATCAATTTAGAGAAAGTTCCATGACCTGATGAAAAGAATGTATATTCGGTATTTTGGGGGTAGGTTGTTCTGTGAATGTCTGTTAGTCCCATTTGTTCTAGAGTTGTGTTTAGGTCCATTGTTTCTCTGCTTATTTTCTGTTGGAGTATCCGTCAAGTTCTGTCAGTGGGGTGTGAAAGTCCATGGCTGTCATAGCATTGCTATTTAACATGTTGTTTAGATCAAGTAGGATTTGCTTTACATACCTGGGTGCTCCTTTGTTAGGTGCATAAATATCTAGGATTGTTAACTCTTATTGTTGAATTGTTGGCTTCACCATTGTATACTGACCATTTTTCTCTTTCTTTAATTTTGTGGGTTTGGCATCTATGTTATCTGATATGAGAACAGCTATACCAGCTTTCTTTTAGTTTCCATTTGCATGGAATATTGTTTACTATCCCTTCACCTTGAGTCTCAATGAATCCTTGTGGATTAGATGCATTCCTGGAGACAACAGACACTTGGCTTGAATATTTTTATCCATTCAGCCAACCTTTGTCTCTTCACTGGGACATTCAAGCCATTCATATTTATTGAAAGAATTAATAAGTGGGACAGGGTGTATTTCTGCACATCATATTGGGGAGACACTTATTGCTTTGTTTTACCTCTTGAGCCATTGTGGAATATGGGTTCTGTACCTTAGATTTTGAATGATTTTATACTGGTGGGTGTCTATTGCACCAATCAGTGTATAATGAAGGTCTGAGGACTTCCCACAGGTCAGGTCTGATCTTCACAAATTCCCTCACTGATTGCTTGTCTGGGAATGTCTTTATTTCTTCCTCAAATAAAAAACTTAGTTTAGTTGGATACAAAATTTTAGGCTGTCCATTATTCTGTTTTAGAAAAATGAGGATGGGTCCCCAGTCCCTTCTGGCTTGTAAAGTTTAGTTGAGAAGTCTGCAGTTAGCTTGATAGGATGCCTTTGTAGGTTACCTGCTGTTTTTACCTTACGGCTCGTAGGAGTGCATCACTTGGGTTTACTTTGGCCAGCCTAATGACTATGTGACATGGCGATTGCCTTTTCATGATGAATTTTCCTGGAGTCCTATGGGCTTCTTGTACCTTGATATCTAGATTTCTAACTAGGTCAGGAAAATTTTTCCTCAATTATTCCCTCAAATAAATTATTCAACCTCTGTGTATTTGCTTCATTGTCCTTAGGGATGCCTATGATTATTATGTTTGCCACTTTACATAATTCTACATTTCTTGTAGGCTTTGCTCATTCCTCTTTTTTTCTGTTCTTTCTCTTTGACTTATTTGTCTAGCTCATAGGTGTTCTATACAAACTCTGAAATTTTTTCTTATGCCTGATCGAGCCTATTCTTAAGGCTTTCCACTGTGTTTTGTAATTTCTTGAATGAATATTTCACTTCCATAATTTCTGATTTGTTTTTCTTTCGTAGTCTATTTAATAAGTCAAAGATCTTTTCTCATTTTTCAAAAATGTCAACAATCACCTAAATAAGAAGTTGTGTGCAAAAGAAAAGAGCTCTTTGTGGAGAGTGTTTACTGCACACAGTCTCTGTGCAAATATTAGTGTTTACCTTCTGTGGGCTGCAATATGGCCCCGTCACTGCCACTTTTATCAGTCATCCTCTCCATACACTCAAGGCAAAGCCAGACCCCCACAGAAGCTGACAGGCTCTTGGCTGGAGTCAACCATGACTTTCCCCTAAGCTTTTACCAGCCCTAATCCTGCTGTCTCAGAGAGTGGGACAGAGAAGTACACACTCCCTCTGTCACAGCCTCGGCTTGCTCACACTCACCACCACCTACTGAAAACCTGGTCTCTTCTCTCCAAACCTGGGCAGCCCCTAACATTCAAGAGCTCCACCTCCCATTCCTATGGGGAGCTGTACCATCCCCCTAAACACTGGGCATTGCCATCTTCTCCTCCAAGTGAAGGCTTCTCCTGTGGCTTCCTAGGCAGAACACCCCTAAGAGGGGATTTGTAAGCTGGCCCCATTAATCAAGGTAGTTAGGTCACTGTGTATTAACCCCACTTAATCAATGTGAAACCAGAGTCCTGTGGGGGGCGGTATGTGACCTGTAGAAGGTCACCCATGTAATAAAAGCACTAGGTCTGGATTCCAGGCCTCATTCCCGGACATCACATCTGGTCTCCCATCCCAGTGTATGGCCTCAAGCAAGTCACCTGAGGTGACAGTCCTCTCCCCAAAAACTGTTCTGCAGATTCCCAGACAGCAGAATATTCTAGGTTGGCTTGATTCCCCCTTTTCCACCTACTAATGGGGAAGTCACTTCAAAAGGCGGTCCATGAATTCCAAGGTCAGAAACTTCTCACATGAAATCAAAATTGGCCATCTGTATATCTTCCTTGGAAAAATGTCTATTCAGAGCCTTTGCCCATTTTTAAATTATTGTTTTTGTTTTGGGCTATTGAATTACATGAGTTTCGTATATTTTTTGGATATTAACTACTTATCCAATGGTTCACAAATATTAATATTTTCTCCAAATCCATAAGTTGTCTATTCCCTCTGTTGATAGTTCCTTTTGCTATGCAGAAGCTTTATAGTTGACTATAATCCCAGTTGTTTATTTTTGTTTTTGATGCCTGTGCTTTTGGTGTCATATCCAAAAAATCATCACCAAGACCGATGTCAAGGAGCTTGTTCCCTCTTTTCTTTCAGGAGTTTTATGGCTTCACATATTACATTTACTTCTTTAATTCATTTCAAATTAAATTTTATATGATGTAAGATGAGTCCCATTCATTCTTTTGCATGTGGAAATCATGTTTTTTGAACACACTTATTGAAGAGACTATCCTCTACTCATTTTATATTCTTTGTGGTTTTTTCAAAGACTAGTTTACTTTACACACATGTACTTATTTCTGGGCTCTGTATATGCCATTAAAATACTTTTTTGATTACTAAGAGTTTTGTCACATACTTTAAAACGCGGATGTCCGATGTCTGTAACTTTCTTCTTTTTGCTCAAAATTGCTTTGGCTATTTGGTGTCTTTGTAATTCCATATAAATGTTAATATTTACTTTCTATTTCTGTGAAAATGTCATGGAAATTTTGATAGGGATTTCTTAGAATCTGTAAATGGCTTTGGGTAGTATGGGAATTTTAACAATATTAATTTTCTAATGCATGATCACATGATATCTTGCCATTTATTTGTGTCATCTTCAAATTTTTCATCAATATTTCATAATTTTCAGTGTACAGATCTTTCCACTTTTTGGTTAAATTTATTCCTACATATTTTATTCTTTTGGCGTTACTGTACATGGAATTATTTCCTTAACTGGGGGTGTATAGTTCATTGTTAGTGTATAATAATGCCACTGATTTTTGTATGTTAGTATCATATCCTGCAACTTTACTGAACTCATTTATTAGTTAAGAGATTATTGGTGGAGCCTTTAGGGCTTCCTATATATAGGGTCATGTCATCTGCAAACAGACATAATTTTACTTCTTTCTTTTTTATTTAAATACTTTTTATTTCCTTTCCTTGCCTAATTGCTTTTGCTAGGGTTTCCAGTATTATGTAAAATGGAGATGATGAAAGTGGGCATACTCATCTTGTTTCTGATCTTAGAGAAAACCATTTGACTTTTTACCATTGAATATGATGTTGGCTGTTCTCCTGTCGTATATGGCATTTATGTTGAAGTACATTCCACATATACTTATTAGTTTAGAGGGCTTTTTGTTTTGCTAATAAATTTTTATTTTTTTAGCTTTTTTTCTAACACAAGCAGTTTATTTAAAAATCTAAATAAAGGTATTACTATAGCAAGAATGTTTTGTCCCCAAGAGAATTCATATTTTTTAATCTATTTCATAAGCTTTTAATCTTTTTCTATTTTATTTGAGGATATTACAGGAATGCAAATATTTTTGTTACATGGATTGCTACTTAAGTCAAAGTTATTAGTGTGCCCATTACCCAGATGGTGTACACTGTACCCATTAGGTATGATTTCAACTATCTCCTCCTACCCCCTCCCACATGCTTGATTTCCATTGAGTTTTACTTTGATCTGTGCACATCATTGCTGATCGATTA